GGTACTGGAGGGTTAATGCTGGCATTTGAGCCAAACAGATATTTCTGTTTTCATACACCATTTTAATGAGAGTTCAGAATAATGATCTTAGAAAGAAAACATCAAGATTTTATCACTGCTCCACTGGGACTTCTTAATTCTTTTTCACTGGAGTCTTTTAAAGCTTCCGTTCGGTGAACCAGGGACACCAAGAGTCCCTTTCTCTGGGCGACTCCCATCCCATGGGCTCCCACAGCAGTGCAGCATCCAGGGCCGTGAGTCTCTTGCTTGTTTGACACTCACACTAAGACCTGAGCAGTTACCTTATCTGTAAATTAGGTGGCACGATGTGAAATCGCTGCTTGTATGGGACAAAATGGCAATAACAGCAATTTCATATGGCTCGTGTTAATGCAAGGTTTCACTGACACTTATGAGAAGTGTCATAGCTAGAGAAGTTTGTCAGCCTCTTGGTGAAAGATATATTTTTCAGGTCCCAAGAGTCTTAATATATACCAATTCAAAGCTGTTAAAAGAAACTGACATTATGGGAAATAGCTTAGGTGAGATCCATTTTCCATGGATGTCTGACTGTGCAAGCAATGTGTGTACACATATGCTTTTTTTTTTAAAAGATTAGCACCTGAGCTAACATCTGTTGCCAATCTTCTTCCTTTTCTTCTTCTTCTTCTTCTTCTCCCCGAAGCCCCGCAGTGGATAGTTGTATATTCTAGTTGCAGATCCTTTTGGTTGTGCTATGTGGAACACCACCTCAGCATGACTTCATGAGCGGTGCCATGTCTGCGCCTAGGATCTGAACCGGCGAAACCCTGGGCCACCACAGCAGAGAGCGCAAACTTAACCACTCGGCCTCGGGGCCAGCCCCCCACATATGCTCTTGTTTCAGTCCCACCAAATGGCAGCCCCAAAGTTAGTGACAACCTCTCCCTTAATCTGAGGCAGAAAAACAGGGAAGTGTGCCCTCAGCTGCCACCACAAAGCAGTCAATTTTCTAGAGCTTTATGATATTTATTACCATGTCCGTGAAGTCTTTGAAGTGCGAACAGAGCAGGAATGAGTGCACCAGCTTTGGTGTGCAAGAAATATTTCTTCTTTTTTAAAAAAATCTACTTAATATGAACAATTAGCCCCCCTTCTACAAGGCCGGAGGGAAATTCAAACTTAATTGTCACTGGGCACCCCTCCTCCCCCCCGCCCTGGATTGTCCAGAGGGCCTGGAGTCTCCTGAATGCCTTGGATTGGGGAGCACATGCTGTTCATTGTTCGTTGGTGCTCTGGCACCACCGAAATGCCCATTGTCCCTGTCCCCACGGCCTTCAAGGCAAAAGCTGCTCTGTGCTCATGTAGGATGTGAATTTTTCTTGCGGCTGGGAGCGCTGTTCCCAGGGTGCTGATGGGGTGCGGGGCATGGGTCCTCTTTGGTTGTGGACCCCACAGTCATCATTTCCCTCCCCACTGAAGATAATCCTGCTGTGCTTGCTCCTTCTACAGGGTCCTGCCTCTCCCCACCTGTCTGGGAGCCCTGACATAGTCTCTTTAGTGAGCTGGGGCCTGGGATGCAAACATCCCCTGAGGCAGTGGGCAGAAAATGGGGAGAAAACTGGGAAATGAAATCCAAGTCACTAAGTATATTGTTTATGACTGTCTTGCCACAGGAAGTTGTACATTAACAGTAGCCAGAGTCCTCATGGGTAAGCACTAAGGCTTGCTTAGTCCAATACAGTAGCCACTCACCAAATGCGGCTATTTAAAAAATCCAGTTCCTCAGTCCACTTGGCACACTTCCAGCACTCAGTTGCCACCTATGGCTAGTGGCTCCCATATTGGACAGCTCAGAGAGAGAACGCTTCCATCATGGCAGGAAGTTCCACTGGACAGCGCTGGTCTGTAATGAGCAGTGTTTTTCCAGTAGCAGTTGAGGGTGGACCCACTACTCTCCTAGCTTATTGTCTTACTCGGCTTGGCCTGAGCTGTTCAGAAAGTAGAATGATACAAGTGAAGAGTCAGAAGAGTGACGGCGGCAGGAAGCAGACCGGCACAGTGTAGTCCTTGACAGTTGGTTCCTCTGGTTGGATGTGGTGGAGCTCTGTGGCTCTTTCTCCTCTGTGTGGTCCAAAGTGTCTCTGAGGCTCTTGGGCGGTCAGCGGGTCTCAGAACCCCTGTTTCTTTAAATAGGTTGAGAGCTTATCTTATGGAGAGGAGGCTTGGATTTCATGTGAGCACATAAAGTGTGTGTGGCTCCCTTTTCTTTGGAGGAGGCATCAAGAAGAGGATGTGGAATGGGCTGGCTGCTTTGGTTCTGTGCACTGGGATGTGTGCATTTAGCAGCCAGGGACTGGCTGGCAAAGGCAGGGCTGCCCAGGGAAACGGTGAGCCTGTGAGCAAACAGAGACGGGAAAAGGGGCACAGTGGAAAAACACCCACATTCCACATCGTCTTTATGGACCTGCACCCACGAGCCAGCAACGAGCTGGACGACCTCAGCTCCGTAAGCCGTTCTTTAAGCATCTGTATGTATCAGACGCTGTGTGGACAGGCTACAACGTGGGGTGAGACTCTGTTCCTGCCTGCAGCCAGCTCTCCACGCAGGAGCGCTCTTAATATGGGCCTATTTTATTACTCCTCACTGCATAAAGACATTCCCTGTTTTTATATTAATTTCAGCCCTGAATGACATTGTCTGGCAAAATGGAAACAAGGAGACGATTGTGTGGGAGTTGGGAATCAGAGGCTTGTGCTTGCCAGGTTTGCTTTGGGCAAGCCAGAAGTCCGTGGAAGCATGTGCCGGGGGTCCTTTAATGAAACTCTAGGCGCTGCTGTCTTTGTACCAGCTCCCTGCCTGGTCCTCCGCAGTTGGGCCCCTCATCCTGACCCACGCAGCGTTTTAGCCTCATTGCCTTGTTCAGATTCTTGCTCCGTAGGCATCTCCCTTTGTTAGTGCTCTGATGCATTCATCGGCTCTGTCCTTAATTGCTTGAGGAAGTCTTTTGATTGCCGCCCTGGACGCTCATGTCTGAGGCGGGGCAGCAAGGCGGGCGGTCTCTGGTTTGTACCATCCTGAGGTTCTAGGGGCCTTGCTGAGCCCCGCTCTGCTCCAGCCTGCTTGGTCCTTCCAACTGTGCATTTGAGTTCAGTAACTGGAATGCAGATCTCTCTGTTGGGACGGCATGTTTATAAAGTGATGTGACTTAAATCATCCTGGACCCTCCTAGTCCTTAGTGAATGTGGTCCCCAGCAGAGGAGGCACCACAGGAGAACTCAGACACGTCCCCAGAGGACTTCTGTTGCTAAGAACATTTTTGGAGCTCTCAATGGGATGGTTTGCACATTCTAACAAAGTGTTTACAATTCTATGAGTGGCTGTCCTATTTTATACTGTCCTTAAGGGGTGAGTTTGATGTTTGAAATTACCTGAAGTCATTTACAGTCATATCTGGTCCCCAGTTGGGGGGACCCTGATTAAAGTAATATTGTTCAGCGTAAAAAATTTACATATAAATATAAAGTTGGAAGACCAGGATGAGTTGGTCATTTGCCTTTTTCTGCATGCCTTTAATGCTGATTTCCAAAAGGGCTCCAGAGAGTCGTGGCCATGGCAGCACCACTGCCTCCCCAGGAGACTGCCTTACAAATGTGCTGCTTCCTGGGTGCATGTCTTTGGTACTTCTTTTGATAGCTGTCATTAATCACACTCCACATTATAGGTAGGATTAGGGAGCCAGTTCATCCACGGACACCCAGAGACGAGGATGATTGGTCCAAAAAGTCAGAGAATCCCTGTTTTCCACCACAGGACACAGGGCTTCTCATCTCTCTTCTCCCCACTCACCTGGCTCCCTTGCTCTCTTTCTTTCTCCTTGATTCCTTTACCTTTGGCCCAGAGAGTCTTGCCTTCATATTTTGCTTAGGTTATAGGAGACAGCTGCTGAACACGGGGCCACACAGCAAGAATACTGTCGGCCTGAGCCGGCTTCGACTAACGAGCACTGTGTGTAGAGAGAAGGTGGAAGATAGTCCTTCCCAGATGTGGCTGCAGTTTAGACTCACCTGGGGAGTGTTTCACACTCATTACCAACTGAATCAGAGTGTCTAGGGGTGGGAGCCAGACAGCAGTAGGTTGTCAGAGATCCCCAGCTGATTCTCATATGCAGGCAAGTTTGAGAACTACTCTGAGGAGGAGGACTGTCCTTTGAAAATGTGAGCACTTACCTCTGAGCATAGCCACAGCCAGCCAGACTTGCATCTCCGAGGCAGTGTGATGTACTAGAAACAGCACTGGTGCAAAACCAGTCTCTACGACCTACTATCCTGGTGACCTTAGCAAGCCATTTCCCTGCTCCGAGCCTTGTTTTTCTCATCTGTGAAATAGGAAAATAATAGCAATACCTGTCTGATAGGGTCATCTGAAAGAATGAAAGAGATGATGTATGGAAGTCTTTGTAAATTGTGAAATGCTATAGAAATGCTTATTATTAACACTGGAGATTATTACTCTATAGAAAGATGCTCATTTTCTAGGTGGGTTGGTAAGATAGCTGGGGTAATTTAGTGGCATTAATTCTTTCATTACCAGCAATAAACCTGAGAACTGTTTAGGACAAGAATTTCTCTCGTCTGATAAAGGGGGTGACAAAGAGAGGTGGTCTCTCTCACTTTAAAAAGAAACCAGCAGCCAGAGCCTAAGAGAACCATTGTCCCACCGCGCCCAGGGGATGCTCCCTGGCTTCCTGTTTACTGACCAAGAGTGGAGGGGTCTTGCTGAGTGGGAAGGGACATATCTTCAGGCTTTCTGTTCAGTTGAAGTTTGTTTATCGGAGTGGGTGGAACTGCCCGCAGAGTGTTGCTGACAAGCCCCAAAGGAAGAACAAAGGAAGGTCCCGTTGGCCAGGGCCCACTTTGTCGTTTTCATTAGTGTGACTGTGGTGTCTCGTGCAATAAACATCATCACGTCCCTTTTGGGTGCAAACAAAAGCATTTTTTCTTTGGCTTGTCCTCCCCAGGGATTTGAAGTTGGATGGAGGGAGGCAATCAGCAGGTGCCGTGAGCTTGAAAGAGATCATTGGCCTTGAAGGTGTGGAGCTGGGAGCTGACGGGAAGGTAAGCCCGCCTGGCGTCCAGTCAGAGAGTTTGTGCCAGTGCCGCACCAGTCAGGAAGCAGAGGCAGGGTGACAGACCACGAACCTCGCTCGTGGTGGAGGAAGCAGGTGTGGGGCACATTCCTGGGTGTGTGATGCCAGCCCATCCCTGTTCCCCCAGCGTGCAGACAGAAATCCACCAAGCCAGGGAGTGAATAGCAGCACACCTCTTTCTCTGCCTGCACCGTGTACAACGGAATGGGCGGGACTGGCCAGTATCTCATGCACAAACACACGCGTGTGTGTTCCAGGACGGTGACGCGTGGTTTGAACATGCGAGCAGCATTCCCACTACTAGGAAGTTTTTTTGGGTTCCCATGGTGCTGAGAGGCTACGAGACCCTCAGTCGATAGTGACCACCGGGCAGCAGGGCTGTCACTTTCCTCTTTATCCACAATTCAGTGAGCTACTGGGTTGAAGTCGGAGGAGTGAAAGTTGAAAGATGAATTTGACCTATTTTTGCTCCATCCAAACAGTCTTCATAAACTACTGTCCCAAAACCTGTTTATGGAGACGATAATGCACATGCTCAGAGAATGCAAGTGACTGTTTGGGAAAGCATCCCAGAGCTGTTTACTTGCAGGTGAAGATGCAGGGGTGGCAAACCACCTCCCTTCCCCGAGAATAGCTGGTCACTGCTGTGCTCCACTGTGACATCAGCTCTGACCTCACAACGTAGAGGTCCGTGAACCGCATTTCCCCACTCAGGTGAAAAGAAGAACACTTGTTCTGTCTTCATTCCTCAAGCCTGAGTGTTCACATAGGAATGAGGGAGGATGGAATGGAGATGAGCATAGAGATAGCATCTGCCAAAGGAACGGATCGGAGCCACAGTCTCTTATCAGAGACTCTTGGGGCCTGACGTGTTCTGGAATTCTGCACTTGGTGCCTCTGTACTGCAGACACCCCAACAGCTTCTGAGCTGGGACCTCGTTATCAAACACACTATTGTTTCTGCCATGTACATGAATATTCACTCCAAGTGGGATAAATTAAAACTATGCACAGCCTCACGTCAGTTCAGGTTAGGTTTTGGCACAGCTGAGTGCCGCAATAAATTTCGTTTTTCACATCTCATTGGATTTGAGAACTGCAGATCTGAGACTGTCGACCTGAACCTGGGGTGGCAGCATAGCTTGGTGACAGTGCCAACCCAGCCCTGGCTGGGAATATTCACTTGCTGTTTTCGTCTTCACCTTTTAGACTGTTTCTTACACCCAATTTCTGTTACCCACCAATGCTTTTGGAGCCCGGAGAAACACCATAGACTCCACTTCCTCCTTCTCCCAGTTCCGTAACCTGAGCCACCGCAGCCTCTCCATCGGCCGGGCAAGCAGCACCCAGGGGAGCCTCGACACAGGTAAGCTGGGGCCTGGCTGGGTCCGGGGAGGCTGTGGCAGGAGGTGTGGGCTGGGTCTTCCTGTGTGCAGACTGGACGGCAGGTGGCCCTAGAGCATGAGCTCTTCCCACGGGCAACGTGAATTCTGGACAAGCCCCATTCAGGCCGTGCGGGCTCACAACCAGGCCACAGGGGGTCTCTCTAATGAGGTGCTTCAGTCGCCAGCCCCCAGGCTCCCACAAGGAGAAATGTCAAGGCTGTCTGTACCATGCAGACGTGGCTGGACTCCCCAGCTTCTCTCTGTCGCTCAGCTCCTCACCTCAGCCTGGTTCTTGCCTACATGTTCGTAGCACTCAGATTTGGCTTTTCTTCAATTAATTGGGTCAGAAAGGCAGGATGAGGTGTGAAAACTTCCTCTGTGATTTTCATAGTGAGCGGCCTGCTCAGCTGCTGAAGACTTGCCTGCCTCCAGCTTTGCCTGGGCAAACCTTGGTACGAACTGACACAAGGGAGAAAGCTGTTTGTGAAGCAGTGTTACTTCCTCTCTCAGAAATTCCAGGTGACTGTGAGGTTCCTTAGGCCTGTCCCGGGGCTGACTTCAGAAGCACTGGCCGAATGTTCCGGCTGCTTCTGGTCCCTTGCAGCTGTTTGCATTGGCACCCGCTCTGATTTGTGTCATACGGACACAGTAGCCTGCCCAGAAGCGCTCACACCAAAAACGGGCTTCTTACCCGGCACAACTTGAGTCAGCTAATTTGATCGGCAGGTTCAGAAAATTAGCCTTTTTGGTGCCACGTTTCGTAACCTGAGTGTTCACCACATCTTCCATGCTCTGTGTGGTTTTGTGCTCTCCCAGGTCAGGGAGATTAATATGTAATTTTCTAACAAGGAAGAAACGTCAGAAGGTTCAGTATTTGTTGAACCCCTTTGCGGAGAGATGCACTTCGTTGGCATGCAGAGACGTCTACTGAAAGGCAGAGCGAGCCCGTGCCCCTGAGCTGGCTGGGCTGAGCCAGCCTTTCTCCCGTCTGCCCTTAGACTCGCCATTTGCCCAGGTGCTTCTGCTGCTGCTGCTTCTCTGGAGGCTCCGGGGCCCCTAATTATCACTTTGCATGTGGTCCTTAGGCAGTGACCTGGGAGACTTCATGGACTATGACCCAAATCTCCTGGATGACCCGCAGTGGCCTTGTGGCAAGCACAAACGAGTTCTGATCTTTCCTTCATACATGGTGAGTAGCGATGGGGGGACAGTCGGTTCGCTCACCCCTTCGGCCTCCGAGGAGTGGCTTGAAGGTGGCAGGCTTGCCTTAACAGACGCTGCTCTGCTTGGGATTAGGTGGCTTGTTCAAACACTGCTCTGCCTGAGGGACCTTCCTGAGGACCCCCCAGTGTGGCTTGCTTATGGAAGGATCAGCGCGTGCTGGTCCAGGATTCTGCTGGTCACCTGGCCCGGGTACACCACTTCAGCTACCATCTGCGGGTCAGCGACCCTCCCCTCTGAGGGACACACCGGAGCTTATACATCTACAGACCCCACTAGGGGAGGACCAGGCCCGTCAGCGGCAGCGCCGAGTTCCAGTTCATCCATGTTTGGAGTTCCTTGGTGACTGTAGGCCTCCACACGCACACCAAGCAAACATTTGGCGCTGGGCTCTGGATGACTGAGTTATCTCCTGGGAAAATGAAAGTAGGGCAATGTGGGTGTTAATGCAAGACCTTTCCTTGCCGTTTTCATTTCACGGACTCTTACTGTTTTTCCCTTTGTGCAATTTTGGTTTCTGCTTTTGGCTGATGACTATTTCCCACCACTCCAGGCCACTGTTTCGCCAGACGCCAGTGGGGCCTGAGGGGGTCCCGTACACTTTCTTCGGGCAGATGTGCCCTAACTTGGAGGCAGGCAGAGCCTGGGCTGCTGTGGGAGGAGGGGAGAGCTGGGCTTGCAGGAAAACCTGCCACATGGGCCTCAGGTGGGAGAGCACTGACTCCGAGTGCCCCTACCAACTCCCTGCCAGGCCCGGGTGGGGCACGCACAGCATCAGGTGGGAGAGCATTGATCCCAAGTGCTCCCTCGCTCCTCCCCAGCTTGTGCTGTTCTCAGCAGCCTCACCCTCAGGAGTGAGCGGAGGCTCCTTTTTCTGTTCTAGGCTCTTGTGTCTGCAGAAGCCAGAGTGGGACCCATCCCCATGTACTCAGAGGGCTCCTGACTGCTCCCTCGGAGCTGAGAGTTCTCAGCTGTGGGCTTCCAGCCTCCAGCCTCCCTCCACTCTGAACGTTTGGCCCGTAGCTGACATCAGAGAAACCCTGGGCAGGACTCAGGCCCTTGCCAGTTCTTTTCTGCGTATATCCTCTGGTCATTTGGCACATAGCTCAGAGGTCCTTCTAATATGCCACAGTGAGTCAGAATGAATTACCAAAGGCATTTAGTTTAAAATTGTCCCCACTCCGCACTCTCCCAGGCTTTATTCCCCAGCTCCTAACACAGAAAGAAAAACCAGGGCCACGTTCAGTTATTTTTTTTCACTCTGTGACCTGTTAGATTATTTACTTCTTTTCAAAACCAGGGCTTATTCATGTAAGCTAGCACATAATCAGTGTTCAAGAAATGACCAGAATCATTGCCCTGATGTTAAGGAGGGAGCAGCTGAAAGGTCATGACTTATGTAAGAATAAGGGCTCTTTATGTTGTTCACCGCTTTATTTATTAAAGTTCACTTTCTTAAGGACCTTGCGCAGGAAGCTGTGGCTCAGGGAGTCTGAGTGCGGCCGTCACAGTTGACAGACAGGAAGTCGGGGCTGAGCCTAGAGCTCCTGGCTCGGCACTCTTCTCACTGTGCCTCTGAATCCCACCTCCCCTGGCGGCCAGGGGCAGAACTGCCAACCTCAGGGTGGGACAGAAAATGAATCTTTGGGCCAACAGTTCAACAGATTTCTAGGCAACAAAGAGAATGAGAGGATGTGCTATTTCTGACTGACGTTGGGGTTTGGTGGGGAGCTCGTCTATAAACGTGTTTTGTCTGGTGATAACACCGACCTCTCCTTTTATGGGCCTGGTGTTGGGCTGATGCCAGATCTGATCTTTTTTTTTCTTTACCCGATCTTGTGAGCTTCGAGCTTCTGGGCTACAGTCCACGTGAGTGCGCCCATGCACACAGATGACTTTTCCTCCTAGGACGGCGTGCTCAATGGCTTTCCAAGTCAGCATATATGTCCTGCCCTCCTCGTTTTGTGTTCCCAAGTGGGTTGTTTTTTATTTCACCACATTGAATCTGCAGCCCGTGCTTCCTGTCATAGGCCATTTTTTTTTTTATTTAAAGATTTCATTTTTTTCCTTTTTCTCCCCAAAGCCCCCCAGTACATAGTTGTATATTCTTCGTTGTGGGTCCTTCTAGTTGTGGCATGTGGGACGCCGCCTCAGCGTGGTTGGATGAGCAGTGCCATGTCCGCACCCAGGATTCGAACCAACGAAACACCGGGCCGCCTGCAGCGGAGCGCGCGAACTTAACCACTCGGCCACGGGGCCAGCCCCTGTCATAGGCCATTTCTTAAAGAATGAAGTTGCTCACGACCTGGATTGGGCTGGTCAGCTCCATAAGGCCTGCATCTCCTTCTATTCTTGCCACAGATATTGGCGAGAACAGATCAAATGTGGGATGTCCACTTTGCAGTGTTCTCTTCGAAGACACTCAGGTACATGTTGTTTTATAAGGAGCCTCTAGCCGGCTCCCAGGAGACGTCCACTCTAGAAGCAGGCGCAGATTATTGGGCTGTTTCACATGCATTTTGCATCGCACTTGCAGGAGCAAACGGCTCTGGGGGTCGGCTTGCTTGCTTGCTTGCTTTATTTTGTGTGTTGGCTAACAGGTGTAGAATTTGTCCATTCAGCCAGGATTGACTGAGGCCCTACTATGTACCGGGCAAGGTGCTTCCTTATACCGTGGAGAACAAACCAGGCCCCCGGTTCCCATCCTCCTCCACCCCATGGTGGGTGGGAAGTCAGGCAGTGAGCAAGAGACAGATCACTGTAGTCGTGAGGAGGGAACCTCCTGGAAAAGTCGTAGGAGATGACAGGGAGGGTTGGAAGTTAGAGGTAGACTTCAAGGAAGGCTCCTCTGAGGAAATGGCATCGAAGGTGAGTGCTGAGGAGTCAGAAAGTGTGAAAGAGGTTTGTAAAATCAACGCTTTGTCACTGCCCTTCCCTCCACACACACACACACACGCGCACGCACACACACACACACACACACACGTGTCAAGCCTGTAGAAGGATGGTCCTGACAAACCCTCCTCCCTAACTCGACCCAGGCCCGGGGAGCTGTCCTTCTAATAGGCCATGACCACCGTGTCCACCAAGGTGGACAGACAGAACTACAGGGTTACTTGACCCAGGTTGTTGGCGGTGCTCGTTGAGGGTCTGGGACACATCTTGGCCCCTAGGCAGGAGGTGGGCGCTCTGCCCAGACAGACATGGCTTGGGGCGCTCCTGCTGCCATGTGAGCCTCATTGTTGCAGGGAGCCCCCTGCAGGCAGGCGTCAGACCTGTGTGGAACCTCTGTGGTCCTGCTCCTCCGGCCCCTGTGCAGGGCTCCCTTTGCCTGGCCTTTGCCTGGCAATTGGGGATGTGAGCTGGCAAGCCGGTTATGTGCTGACTGTATGCGCAGCGCTGCCCACCTCCCTAAATATCAGCCCCAAGGCCTCTGGGTTCCTGCGCTAGCTATCCTTGTCTTCCTTTGGCCCCCAGGGCAGCCCAAGCTAGGCCAGCCCAGTGGAGGCCCTGAGCCTGAGAACCGGGGGCTATTGTCTGGTGTTTTGGGGTGTCCTGTCCCTGTGGAATTTCAGAGTCTGAGATGTTCCTGTGGCTCTGCAGAACCAGACGACCCTCAGAGTGATCTGTGGTCCTTTCACCCCATCAAATCCTACAGCAGCTGGTTATGGTTTTTCTCTCTTCATCTCAAGATGTAACTTACATCGAGTCAAGCGCACCTGTTTTAAGTGTGCCCTTCCATGAATTTTGTAACCTCCACTCTGATCAAGAGATGGAGCGTCTCTGTCCCCTTAGACAGTTCCCTCCTGCCCGTCCCGCTCTGCCTCCCGCCCCTCCCTACAGAGGCAGCTGCTCTTCTGACTTCCGTCACCAGAGACTAGTTTCGCCTATTCTGGAACTTCATGGAAATGGAATCATATACTGTGTGCTCTTATTTTTTTGCCCGTCTTCTTCCACACAACTTGACATCTGTGAGATTCGCTTGTGTTGTGTGGATCAGTCGTTAGTTTTTTGGCTGCTGAGTAGGGTTCCGCTGTACGGATATACCACAGTGGCTTTATTGTCCATTCTCCTGTTGGTGGACATGTGGGTTTCCACTTTAAGGATATCATTAGTATTGTTGCTATGAACATTCTTGTACAAATCTTTTTGTGGACATCTATTTTCATTTCTCTTGGGTCAATACCTAGAAGCAGGCTTTCTGAGTCATAGTGTAGGTGATGTTAACCGGTCAGGATATATTGGCTGTGTATTTTCCTTCATGCTTGTCCTAAGATAAAAAGGCCACTCGTTGCCACGGTTAGGACAGGCCTTAAAGTGGGAGGGTTCCACAGGCGAGCGTTTCCCTGAGGCTCGGAAAGAAGCCTGTTATTTACAAAGCTTAAGTGGCGCCCCTTTAAAATTAGCCTTGTATTCATAGTTCCATTTGTATTTTTTAGCTTTGATCCATGGTCACTCCCACTGTTAGCCACTGTGAAAGGGCAAAGGTGAAATTTTGAATTAAAGAAAAATTCCTGGGGCAGGTGTGAAAACCAAAGTGCTTCCGCCCCTGTGGTTTTGGCCCTCTGGTGTCTGGAAGGTGACCACAGGACATGAAAGGATGTGCGCCTCCAGGCTGCGTGCAGGCTCCTGTAGGGCCTTAGCTTAATGACGCTGTTTCTCTGGGCTCCGAGCGAGGGCGGGAGGCCTCGTGTCAGGACGGGCCGCTTCCTGCCCGCGCACCGCCTGGCCTGTAATTAAAGTTTCACTAGAGAGCAGTTATTTGTCATTAGAACCTGGCAGCTGGAGTCGGTAGTGGTTTTGTTTTTTTCCCTTTATGGGTGTGGAGAGCAATTAAGAGAAAGTAAGTGGAAGAGTTGACTGAGAATGCCAACAAAATTAACATTATTTGAATGGATTTCTGGATCCTTTTCCTTTCTCAGGAAGAAAAACCTCTCGGACTGTTTTGACATCAGAAGGAAAACCAGT